TTCATTACGATAGTTGCAGGTTTTATGAATTTGAATTTTTTGTATTATATATTTCTAATGAGCTTATTTAAAATTTTTATGCGTCAAAAATATTCTGTTTTGATCAAGTAAAGATTTTTCAACTTTCTATCAAAAACGTGTAAATTTTTAGGTCTCGCAAACGCAACTGCTCCAAAAAGGGGAGACCGTTCTTTGTTACTAGGCTATACAAGTTGTCGTGCGAGTTCTGAAAGTGGGAAAGCTGATTGGCGTACGCTTGACAGAAATATCGCATTACTTTCGACCCTTCCAAACGTGATAGGCGACGAGCATTGCTGCTTAGAATTAAATATAGATAATATTGTTGAATACAGTATGTAGTTTATTCATTAAGGAATTTCGCTACAAAATTTCATTAAAAGTTTTTGAAAACATATTCAGGTTTTTCTTAATTTATTATCCGTTTTAAAGTTTTTTTAGATACTCCTATATTTGTTCAGTCTCATAAATTTTCAATGTTTTTTTGTTAATTAATTTCATATTATTCAAATAATTTTCTTTTTTTATATCATTTAAATAATTTTCTGATTAAAAAAATATTATTAATTACTTTCACATTCTTTAGATAATTTTCTGATAAATTAATTAATTAATTTTATATTCTTTAAATAATTCTCTGATTTACAAAGCGTAGATGAAATTTTTGCTATGCTAAGCAAAAAAACACAACAGAATCTAACAGTCTTACTTGCTACTGTAGAAGTTAGCTAATTTAAAGTAAATTATCAGTCAATTTTTAGTATATATTTCAAAATATGACTTTTAATAAAATAAAATAAAATTGAAAAATATATTATCCGAAAGTAGTAGACTCGTGTAAGTAGAAGAACTGCGTCAGGAAACGCAGATTTTAAGCTAATTTTTGTTTGTTTTGCTTTATCTGAATTTTACAGCCTAAACTCTCAAATCACTAAATATTGTATTAGCAAGAAACTGAAATTTGTGAATAATCATGCCATTTTTGTAACACAAACATTATTTTCATGTCAATATTTAACAAATCTATGCCTTATTTTTAGAAAACAGTTACTATTACCAAGGAAAGCACATAACTGGTGGTGCTTTGCAGAGTACTACTTGTAATAAGTATATCAATTACTTTATGTGTAAAAAACTCGGTAAGCTTAAAGGTTTATTATAATACTGTAAAATATAAGTCTTGAAAAGTACTTTACAGAAATATCAAAATTCTAATTTAATATCATTATATAAAAGTGAATAATGCACTAATGTTGAAAGTTATACTATATTTTTGTAATGCTATACTGTATTTTTTTTCAGCTCAAGGGTATGGTCAGTGAAGAACGAAACTTAACTGCTTGATTTTTGTTAGTGAGAAGAAATTATATCAAAACAAGTATTTATTTATGATTTATATTAAAATCACTTTTTGCTGCTTAAATGATCACCTAAAAGTCATTAAATACTCCTGCCTTGTTCATCAATGTTTATATTTTGAAAATTATTTATTTGGAATTTCATAAAACAGCGTTCAAATTGTTTAAATATTGCTTGCACATACTTATTTACCATTCACATATGTATTTATATCATTTTTAAACGCCAAAAAATTACTTAAAACTTTTACTAGTAATATTTTCACAGTGAAAAAAATCATAATTTGAATTAATAAGAAATGATTGTCATCGGAAGTATAAGGGATTTTGACAAATTATGAGCAAATCTTGATGCATTCAACTAACTTTATTGTTTAAAGAGAAGTATTATCTAGGTAGATAATTGTGCGAAAAACTAAAACTAGTCTACCAATCTACTAGTCTACTGTACCTAACTCGAACAAACAGAAAGTGCTAGTCTATCAGTCTATTAGTCTACAGTCTACCAGTCTACCAGCTTACTAGTCTATCAGTTTACTAGTCTACCAGTCTACTAGTCTATAGACTTGAGCAAACATAAAGTGTTAAAATCGAAAAAACTTCAACCATGTGACATTGATAGGCCATTTTTGTATATAGTTTCTGGTTGGCCTAGCAATATTCTATCGACGATTTCTTTGCCTTGAACAAAACAATGATCTTGGTTAGATGCTTCGTATTTCCAGCCACCAAATCGACCTCTCGAATAAATTTGGTGCTTTTCTAGTGCTTGATGTGCACGAGCTAGCTCAGTATCTCTCTAGAATATTTTTTACTTTTATTTATTTTAATATTCTTCCTCATTTTACAGTAAAAAATATTCCAACCAGTTGCAATGCTAAACTTATTTAAATTAATCAGTAAACAAGCAAGTCAATAGTCTTCTTAAAATAGTAACAGTAATGGACACGCAGAAAAAAAATCTGAATGAATAATTGCTCAGACAATTATTGTATTATTTTGTTATTAACAGCAAAATAAAAATAGAAATTATGATTGTTATCACTATTATTGTTGTAATTATTGATAATATAATAAGTAATCAGTCTGAAATACTTTTTTTGAGAATTTCGAAGTGCTTATGCCAAAATGGACAAAAATTAACGTGTACATCACAGTTTCTGTTATTTTCATTATATATTCATTACTGTACTGATAATATTTTTCTCTATATATTTACTTGTCATTACTATTTATTTTTTATTCTCAGTAATACTAATTACTGTCACTTACTACTACATTCTTACTTTCAACCGTATTAATCAGCTTGTTCACCATTAATTTATTTAATATGCGATGATTGACTTTACTCAAAATATTGAGTGTGATCAAGTGAATATTGAATTGATTTAAGTTTAATATAAATTTAGAGCCAAAAAAGCCGTCCTTTACCGTTCACATATTCATGCAAACTTGTAACTATACTTAAAAGTGTTAATTATACTACACTAACGTTTACTGTAGGAATAGGATATCCATACGGTAATACCATTGAAAATTTGCTAACAATTTGTTCATATGAAATGATTGACTTTAATATTAAGCAGTTTATTGTTCTCTGCATAATTTCCTCTTCAGTAATCTGCAAATAATAATATACGTTTTGCAGTTTTGTTCCAACTAAATTGAACATAACACCAAAATCGGAATTTAATTATTTGAATCAAAATCACATTTTTTCATCAAAATCTTTTGTAGATTATTATGGAACTCTATAAAAATTATATGATTTAATAGCTTGAATGGAACTGAACAAAAACAAATTACTGTATTTGGTTAGGTATAACATACAATTAGTGCTCAAAAAATTGTCTGTAATAATTATAAATTACTTGCTATTACTGCAGTTCAAAAATATTAACTCGTTAGTAGCATATTTAGCATATTTACAAATATAATTTTGTAATTCAGCATAAATTTTTAAATTATAAAGGTCGTTTAGTCCTGTGAAATCAAAATGCAATTCTGTACTGTTTATGGTCTGCATTAGGAGGCATCTGTGTGAAAATAACACATTAATTAATTTAAAATATTCTTCATTTGAAAAATTTCGGACCTACGTTAAGTTGCTAGAGATATAGAAATGAAAAAGTTCCTTTATTAGATTAAGTTTAAATTATTTATCATATGTTAATCGTCTACTGAAAGAATATTTTGTAAGTATTAACAATTAAATAATTACCTTAGAATCAGAAGGCTGAGCAGATTCACATAAAATAGACCAGAAATTACGGTTATCTGGTGTCATTATACCGTACTGTGAAATGAAAGTTAGTCGATAAAATGGTATACTTTCATCAGGAAAGTAAAGCCACGTGTACTGTTTTGCTATCATACTGATTGGCTTCTTAAGACCAATGCCAACAATGATGACCTCGAAAGCAGTCAATATTTAGCTTATTTTAGCTTATTAGCAAGTAAAAAGCTAGAGTTTGAACTGTATTAAATGACAATTTGGAACTGTATTAATCAATTAATGGTGGCTAAATTTTGTAATAATAGTAATTAGTATGTAATAAAACTTTACTTTATTGTGCTTGAGATCCAATGACCGACACAATTTGGTATTTTCAATGAGTTGGTCAATCGGTGATGTGTTGATAAGCACATCATAACTAATTTCGAATAATTCAAATTTTCTATTTTCATAGATAATTTTTTTATTTATTGCATCAATATTTGTTACCTAAAATAAATTTTATGATCTAAATTATTTTTGTGAAAAATGTAGTACTTTCGCTAAAACAAGAAAAAACAATCAAATCTTGATTTGATCTATTTTTTAAATGACTTATTATACGTTTGAATAGCTCCTAAGTCATTTCATGTTATAAGTCAGATTTAGATCAACCAGCTTTACTTCCACTATAACTTTGAATCAAAGACTAATCACTTCAGTCAGGATTAAGTTCTTCTTGCTTCACTAAGTATACTTTAGAATAAACTTTACTATTTTACTTTGAACAAACAATTTTACCAAAATTGGAATAACTACTTCACTTCTCAATAAACATTTATGTTCAAATTCTGTCTGAAGTAAATTGTATAAATTAAACGGAAAAAACTCACAACTAATAGACAATATTCATCTCAGTTTAATAGCCGTAATCCTTTTTTAAAATTATTTTAACATTTTTAGCAGTTAATTCATAAAAATAGCAACCAAAAATTATTGAATAATAGCCGAAAATTTAACTTGCAACCAAAACGGAACCATTCAGAAGGCATTTTTTTAACCATTGCTTTCCAGATAGCACCTGTCCCACCGTTTCTCGGGAACATGAATTGGGCATTAGGACCCCAGCCAAGATCCACATTCTAAATCATATTTGTAATAAAATAATCATAATCGTAGTCATAACCATAATAATTGACAACTTATTAAATACTAATTATGACCAATCAAAAGTGGAAACAACTTTTACCAGAATTATTCTTGAATTATTTGATTTCTCACAACTGACACTATTTTTCTTTAGCATTGGTATTTGTACAAAATAATTTCAACCTGATGATTCTTTTTTGTGTTTGATCAAATTGTTTAGATTAGTATAGTTAGAAATTCAAATAAAATTATAAATAAATCAGCAAGGGATTTTTGAAAATATCTGAATAATTACTCGCTAACTTTTACCTTCAAATTTTCAGCAGTCAAAGTACAAAGTTCTTCTAACTTTTCATGAGGTAATTTAGCAACTCGAGAAGCTACCCATATTGAATTCATTTCTATCGGTTCCACCGTCCATACCTTTAGTACTTGATGTTATACAGTTTGAAAAAAAAATCTGATTACAACCGATACTCAAATTAGCATAATTGCTTAATTACATTATCATTAAATTCATATTTTTAATTAGTAATAAGTAACACGTATATTTATTACGCTTATTGTTATTATTTATAAACATTACTATGAGGATAAATTAGTACAGTTGCTTAATTGCATTATTGTTAAATTCATATTATTTAATTATTCATGAATAACACGTATATTTATTACGCTTATTGTTATCCGTAATAATTACCATAAGGAAGTAAAAAATCTTCAAGTACTCAGCAAACCTTTTTAGTATACGGTGTGAAAAAATATTTGTTAAGTGTTTCACCGAAATTTGTTGCTATCCACTGGTCGAAATTTTTTATCAAATTTATTTTCTGAAAAATTATTAAGCATTTAAAAATTCTTTATAACAATTTCAGTGCAAAAAACCGCTTTAATTTTGAACAAATTATGCAAATTTTTAATTTTACTGCTTTTAAACTCATTAATGAATTGACATTTGCATTTGATTCCAAACTTGAAAACACGACTAACATTCTGACTCCGAGTACTGAAAATCTATTCGAATATACGTTATCAATTTAGAATGGAAAAACAACAGCAGCTTAGATGAGGGGCAATTTTGAACCAGTATTGACCACAAAAATGAAAATAAAAGGTCAAATTTAATGTCTTTTTATTAATTACAAAGTCAGTAAGTGAAAAAATATAATTAACCTTTTCATTTTCACAGCAAACTTTAAAATCCTCCAGACAATTTTTTTTAATATGAGCTGGAAATAGTGGAATAGCATATTGTGCTGGATAAGGGACTAGATGCAAGCTTTTCTCATTATACATATAACTGATATCAATCTGGAATACAATTGATAAAAATCATAGAAATCATAAAAATCCATTTTTTTGATAAGAATCGAAGTATTCGACCTTTTGTTAGCTTACTTTAATAATTTAGACTGTATTCAAAATGTGATCGAATAATATTTGCATATTCAATGTAAATGACTAAAAAATTTGGCTTAATAGTGAATTTAACTTTGCAAAATACAAAGACAACCTGACAATTTCTTTTAAAAGTATTCCATTCATGAACTGCCCAACGTACTGCTTCATCATAGTATGGTAAGTTATGATTGAAAATGATATGTCCTCCTAAATCCCATAAAAATCCATTTTTATCCGTTATGGTACGACTTAATCCACCTGGTGTTAATTCCTGTAAACTGACTCAAATCAGATATTACAGTTATATTCGAATCAATGAAAATTGAAGAAAAATTTGGGGATTGTTACAATATATTTGAAATCTACAACAAGGTCAAAGTCAATGTTATGAACAATTATATAATAAAATTATCATTATAGAAATAAATTTAAATTATATTTAGTAGAGTGCATTATTTTTGAAAAAGGTTGGAATTGTAAAAATAAAACTT